CCAGGTTCCACAGGCAAACACCAATGAGGTCAGTAGACCATCAGTTTGGTAGGCAGCCTAAGACCTCTTCTCTCCCACACTTTCCTTTGGAGCCTCACAAACACTGGGCTAACTCTGGCTATACGTATGTTAACCTCATTATCCATGTGTACATCCCTGGAAAGTATTCTGCCAAGGTCAGTGAACTTATCCACAGCACTCAAAATTTCTCCACTTGTTCATTGGAAAGAACTGCGTTTTGCTATAACTGGTGGTTCCATGGATGGATGGTGTGGTGCTGATTGGTGAAGAACCTGTTTTCTTGGTGTTGTCAGGCCCAAATTAGCAAAGTGGCAGAGAATCAATGGATTCTTACTTTGTTACCTCTCAGCCTCAGATGCTGTACTCAGTATAGTTGGATGAACATCCTATAGATCTTATTCATTAGCATATATATAGATATATTATTATCTATATATCTTTCTCTATGCTTTGGATAGACACAGAAGTTGGACCATGAGAGAAGCTCATCTTTAAAATGTGGAATAATAATAATTGCACTATATACCTTGCTGGATTGGTATGGAGGAAAGGGTTTTATAAAACTTAAAGAAATGTGTATGTGTATATGCATACAACACACACATATATACACATATATGTTATTTCATTTCCATTATTTTCTTCATAGGCTCATAGTTCTAGAGCTGGAAGGGACTTTAGAAGCCATCCACTACAACTCCATGGAGTTCGATGACACTGGAGGGAGAGTGAGGCAGATGACTTTGCTCAACTCTGCCTCACTTAAATCCAATTCACGAGCGAGCCAAGACATTGTCTCATGATGTCACTGGTCCTCTTTGAGAGGGTTGCAACTGAGACCTGGTGATTTATCCAGGGTCACACAGACTTTCAGAGGAAAGATTCAAACCTAGGTTTTTGACTCCAGAGACAATAATATTTTTGTTGTACTATGCTGCTCCCCTTTGTCACTCCCTTTGGTTACTTACCCCTAAACCCGTTATTAGACCACTTATTTGCTGTATTTCATATGTAGGTAGATTTTAAAAGGAATACATAGGTTAATAATAATAACTCATTTCAGAATACTTTAAGATTTGCAAAGCACTTTGCTTCTCTGAATTAGAGGGTGGGTAACTAGAGGTTTGTTTGACCACTTTCCTATGTTGTTCATTACTGGACTTAAACATCTCCTTTCTCAAATAGTTACAATCCTTGAAATCTCATTCATGCCAAATCACTATGAGGCTCCACACAATGATGAATTGCTTTTAAAATATGTTTCCTCCAACACCAATTCTAGGAGTCTCTTGTTTAACTTACTTTTTCTGAATGTCTCCAGCTATCCACAAAAGCCACTTAAGACAGCTAGTCTGTTCCCTTTGTGTTTAATTTACCCCTATTAACTTGCTTGGTCAGCATATCTTTAGGTGTCCTCTCTTTTCTTCAGGAGTGTGTCTGTCTGGGGAAAACATCTATTATGTTTACTTAAACTGACCTCATTTGGCAAGGTCATGGGGGAGATTTCAGCTCAGAGGAAAATGGCTTTGATTCTACTATCTTTGTTTATTTTACACATTTGCTGCTGTCTTGTCTACCAAGCCAGTAAATGCTTTTGGAGGATGCCAAGGCATAGAGTCTAGCTAAGTCAGTCTTTGCAAGTCTGTTGGCAGCCTCTAGTTCACTTCTGCCATTCAAAGTGTCTCACCCATCAGATAACACAGCTGTATGTTTTCTGTCACTCACCATGATGTCATAGGATATCAGAGCTGGAAGAGAGCTCAGAAGCCATTTTGGACATACGCTTCATTTTATAGATATGGAAACCATGATCTAAAGGAAGGAAGTGATTTGTCCAAGGTCAAAGGGCACATTTGTGAAAGAGCTGAGACTAAAGTTCAAGTCTCCTAACTCTTAGTTAGTTCAGTGCTCCTTACAATATGTCATGATTTCTTTTTAAAAAGTTCATTTTTTTTAATCCAGCAAGAAATGGAAACTCTACTGAAGAAGCATGACGTGGTGGAGAGAATGTTGGAGTAAAGAAGACCTAGATTTGCCAGAGAAGATTATCTTTGGATTGTGGGTCCTGGTTTGGAAGGGGCCTTAGAACTTATCAAGTCCAACTCCCTCTAAGGACCAAAGAGAATAAGTTACTTGCCCAATTTACACAGTAAATTGGAGTAAATGGCAGAGTCAGGATTTGAACCTGGGATCTCTGACTCCATAGCCAGTGCCTTTTCTTCTCTGCCACACTAGTTCAATAGTTAATGTATCCAAGGTAGATGAGACAAGGACACAATATCTTGTTAGTCCCCCCCCCCATCCTTACCCTTAATGTTTACTCTTTTCTGCTTTGTGACATATCAAGGCTATTGACAGAACATGCCAGGTAGGAGTACTCTCCTTTCATCTTCACTCTCATACATTGCATTTATTTGTTTGTGATGCCTGGATGACAACAGACACATAGTGCTAGAGATGCAGGAAGAAAATGGAATCAGCTGGTGGGATCCAAGCCCTAGTTCAAGCATGCTCATCAGAAGTGACTGGTGGAACATGATGGTGCAGAGAAAGCATAAAAGGGAACAGAGGCAGAAAGAAAGAAGAGAAGTAGTTTTACTTAGAGAGATGGGACAAGTTCTCATCAACTGATTCCTTTATCCCTTCTCACACTATTTCCTATTCCTTCTACTCCCACGGTGGAGGCAGGGATGTCTTAATGCTGGTGAGCTGATTTTGGCCTCAAGCCTAAGGTAGGCAGGTTATTATGGTCTGAAAACATTGGCAGACCTCCCTGTTGGGATGCTTGTAGGTCTGTGTGATGTGGATACTCTTCAGTGGCAATGTTGGGGTTCTGCTTCCCATTGTCTGGTTGACTGAGTTGGTGTATTTCTCATGAAACATTCTCTTTTTGGTCTAGATATAGAGAATGGTACTTTTTCATGGCACTTTTCCAAACACTTTTCTGTGTTTTTCCAGGAGAGCAGAGGGTTTCATTAATCTGTGTTTCTCTTTGGGAAATGGAAACCAGGCATGAGCTGGTCAGATTACTAGAGATGGGCACTTTGATGTTGTTTAGCCATTCAGTAACGTCTGACTCTTCCTGACCCCATGGACCATAGCATGCCAGGCCCTTCTATCCTCCATTATCTCTCAAAGTCTGTCCAAGTTCATGTTCATTGTTTCCATGACATTACCTAACCATCTTATTCTCTGCCATCCCCTTCTCCTTTTGCCTTCTTTTTTTCCCAACATCAGGGTGGGCACTAGACTAGGCTACAGAGACACTTATTGGAGAGTGTTAGAATGACCACAACCTCTGATACACATATTCCTGAAAGAATAAGGAATGAGTTAGAGTAGAGCTTCTTAATCTGGGCTCCAAGTACCCCCCCAAGGCATGTTTAGTGGATCCATGAACTTGGGCAGGGAAACAAAACAAAACCCTACACTAGGTTTCCATTGTAATTCTATGTATTTTATTTTATGCATTTAAAAACATTCTTTTGAGAAGAGGTCCATAGGCTTCACCAGACTGCCACAGAAGTCCAAGACACACAAAAAGGCACAGATTCCCTGGCTTAGTGGGTGTTATCAGGAGTACTATGGCATGGACTTAGTGACACAGATTTACTATTGAGCCCTTCTGTTTTCTGTACCAGTTTGTAGCAGACCCTGACACAGGAGATTCCCTTAGACATATATACATTGGAGAGTAACACAGAAATGCATGAGGAAAGCCACAGACAAAAGACACCTAGGGCCATGATAAAATATTCTTCTCTGGCTCCTTAGCTTTCAACTCCTTTCAATGGAGTCACTTAGCAAAAGTCCTAAGGAAGGCTAGATTTACACATACCAATGCAGAGATTAGGCTTCTCTTTGATCTTGTCTACTGTCTTCAAGCAATGGGAGGGGGAAAGTGGTGGAGGTGAGGGAAAAGAAAGGAAATAAGCATTTATATGGTGCCTACTATGTGCCAGGCACTTTGTCATCACACCAACCTTGTAAGATAAGTGAGGTGCTGTTATTCTTATTTTACAGTTGAGGAAACTGAGGCAAACAGAAGTTAAGTGACTTGCCCAGGGTCTCACAGTTAGTAAATGTCTGAGGTTATGTTTGAACTCAGGTCTTCCTAAGTCTAGATCTAGCTGCCATCTATTTGCCTTTAAAAGATGATGGAGGGTGGGGGCAGGGAGAGAAAGACAAGGGTTGTCCTAAGGGCTATCACTCATAGCTACTGTTTTGCTGTCCCCACAATTCAGCTATCCTGGCTTTCTTACTGTGATGAGAGAGGATCTAGGAACCACAGCAGAGTGGAAAGAATACCAGCTCTGAAGTCAGGGTATATGTGTTCAAATTCCACTTCTGATGCATACTACCTGTGTGACTTTAAGCAAATGACTTAACCTCCCTGGGTCCAAGTTTCCTCATTTGTAAAATGAAGGGGTTGGACTCTATGGACTAGTTGGACTAGCTCTTTGAGGTCCTTTCCAGCTCTAAATCTATGCCATAATCACCTGTAAACACTTTCCATTGTTCATAACCCTCTTACCCAGGTTTTCATTCCCTATCCATCACACCAATTACTCTCTTACCCACCCTCCATCCCCAACAAATACTGGGAAAAGAGTAAGTAAACTTAGCAATTGTCACCATACACAGAAATGCCTCCCAAAATGGGATAGGAAATGTATTGATGGAAAAAAAAAACAACAAAAGAAGGCCTCCAGCATCTGTACTAAGGGATACATCTTCTGAGAGGTACGACTTGTTCCCAATCAAATGAGCAAATTATGCAATAAGCTCATATAAATTCTGGCATTAATCTTACTCATCCTTTGTAAAACATTGAAAGCCCTGGATTGACCTGAATGCATGCTCTACACAGGAAGAGCTAGCTAATTTTAGGGAACCTTTGGGCAGCCAATGACCAACACAGATCCCAGTGGTATCCCTAGGGAGTGAAGGGTTTCAAAGGGAAGGAAGACATTACTCACTGGTGAGGGTGGCTCTGGTGGTAGGGCCAGAATTCTTAGGAGCCGTCAGCTCATGGTACTGCTCCCCCGCCAAGGTGCTGTATACCACCTTGTACTCCTGAACCTCAGCTTCACTGTTGTCCCATTCAAGGTCGAGGCTGGTTGCTGAACGGGAGCCCACCCGTAAGTTCTTGGGGGCATCGATTTCTGCAAAACAGCAAAACAACCATAGTAACATCATTTTATGTTTCCATGGGGCTATGGCCTTTTGGCCATATCTGGAGTTCTACATGTGGTTTTGGGAACCCCTTTTCAGAACTGCACCCAGCCTGGAGAAGGGTAGCCAAGAGGGTGAGAGAACCATAGACCATATCATACAGACAAAAGGAGTCATGGTGATTAGCCTACAAAGGAGATTAGAAAGAGGACATGATAGCTTTCTTTCAGTATTCAATGGGTTACCATGTGAAAGAGAGATTAGGTTTGTTTTGCTGGCCCTAGAGGAGAGAACCATGATTAATGGGTAGAAGTTGTGGAGAAGCTGGAGAGGCAGATTTTGGTTCCATATAAGAAAAAAATAATAAAATGTCCTAACAATGAGAGCTTATCCAAAATATCCATTTAGGCTGCCTCAGGAGGTAGTGTAAGGACTTCCTTCCCTGGAAGTCTTGTAAACTCATTGAGGACAGGGGATTACATCTCTGTGCTTAGCACAGTGATTACCATATGGTAGTCACCTGTTAAAAGTTGTTGATTGGGGGCAGCTAGGTGGCACAGTGAATACAGCACTGTCCCTGAAGTCAGGAGGATCTGAGTTCAAATCTGGCCTCAGACCAAACACTTAACACTAGCTGTGTGACCCTGGGCAAGTCACTTAACCCCAATTGCCTTAAAAAAAAGTTTGTTTGCTTCTCAGGGATGTTATGGTCTAATGGGGAAGAGACTACCAGATCTGGGCTCGGAGGATGAAGGTTTGAGTCTTCACTCCATGGCTTGTTATTTAAGAACAAGCCACTTAATCTTTCTGAGACTCATTTTCCTTCTCTTTAAGCGAGTGCTGGAAGAGATGACTTCTAAGCAGAGATGTGCTGATACCAGCTCTAACTTGCTTTCCAGAGTTGATTGTTAAATTTTCAGTGTGAGCATTTACACCACAGAAATTGACAAACATGTATATTAGGACTTGACTTATTATGTTGACTGGCAAGACATAAGAAAATGATCAAGAAAATATTTTGTAATGCAGATTAAACTAAAATGTGCAAGAGCCCCAAACTCTTTGGTTGTTAAGCCAAACTCTGGTTTTGGTGGTTAAACAATCACCAGCCCACTTCTGCCTCTATGGTCCCCTGCCCGCTTTAAATCAATGATCCTATGATATAGTAGAGGAGATACAGCTATGAAGAAGTAACTTGGCACAGGTGATTTCTTAAAGCCCTGTCATATCAAATGAAATATGTGAAAATGTTTTGCAAACCTTCAAGTGCTATATAAATGCTAATTCTTATTCCATCTCTAATATGGACTTGTGTTTGGTACCTTAAAGTGAGGTTGAAAAAAATAACCTGATAGAATGGCTAAACAAACTGCAGTAAGTGAATGTAATGGAATATTACTATGTTGTAAGAAATGACAAATATTAGGAACATAGAGAAGCATGGAAAGACTTGAATCAACTGATGCAAAATGAAGTACTGAGTCAAGACAACAATATAGACAATGACTGCAACAGTGTAAATAGATGGAGTCATGAACTGATCCAACCATTCTGGAGAGCAATTTGGAATTATGCCTAAAGGGCTATAAAACAGTATGTGCTCATCACCCAGCAATAGGACTACAGGGTCTGTATCCCAAAGAGATAAAAGAAAAAGGACAACATATTTATACCAGCTCTATTTTTATGTTGGCAAAGAATAGGAAATTGCCAGAATGCCCATCAATTAAGGGACAGCTGAACAAATTGTGGTATATGATTGTGATGGAATACTAGAAATAAGCAGGATGCTTTCAGAAAAACCTGGAAAGACTTACATGAACTGATGCAAGGTGAAGTGAGCATAACCAGTAGAACATTGTATGCAGTAGCAGCAATATGGTACAATAAACAGCTGGGAATGACTTAGCTATTCTCAGCAAGACAAAGATCCAAGACAATTCTGAAGGACTTATGATGAAAAATGCTATTCATATTCAGAGAAAGAACTGAGAGAAACCCAATGAAGATCAAAGCATACTTTTAAACACTATTTTTCTTGGGGGTTTTTTTGGTCTATATTTTCTTTCACAACATGACTAATATGAAAATATGTTTTTCATGACCGCACATGTATAACCTTTATTGAATGCTTCCCTTCTCAGTGAGGGGAGCATAGAGGCAGGGTGGGGGAGAATTTGGAACTCAAAATTGTAAAAAAAAATGAAGGTTCAAATTGTTTTTACACATAAATGGAAAATAAAATATTAAAATAAAAAAGAACAGTGTCAATAGAAAGAACCACCTCAAAACAATCAAAAGTGAATACTGAAAAATAAAAATGAACAAGCATGGTCTCAAAGAATAGAAATGAGAAGAAACCTCCTCCCTATTTCTTTGCAGAGATGGGAAGTCCATGGAGGTGGTACTCACACTTGAGACTTTTTGAATGTATCAATTGATTTTGCTGATTCTCTTCCTCTTTTTCCTTAAAAAGAATTATCTATTATATGAGATGGCTCTTAAGAGGGAAGAGGAGGAAGGATGTTGTGGAAAATTCTGAACAGGTAGAAAACAAAAGATGTCAGTAAAATTTATTTTAAAATTATTCTTCACAGGGAGAAATGAAACCTTATTCTTTATAATGAAGGTACCTGGCAAATGAGTGTCCAAGGGCAAAAATCATGATCATCATTTACAGTCTAGAGGTGTCAGCTATCACTGGAGGAGGTGGTATTCTGATAATATTAATAATAGTGATGGTGATATGATTATGAGTCTGGTGATAAAATAATACAATATCCAAATTGTACAAAGCAATAGCAATGTTTATATAACACTTTTATGATTTGCAAAATGCTTCACACATATTTACTTATTTGATCCTCCCAACAACCCTGTGAGTTAGGTGACAATCCACATTTTACAGATGAAACTGAGACAGATCTCAGTTAAATGACTTGCTGAGGGTAACATAGCTAGTAAGTGCTTGAGGCAAGATTTGAACTCAGGTGTTTTTGAGGTCAAGTCCTATGCTTTATCCACTATACCACCTAGCTGCCTTTAGTGTGACTTTCCCTCTGTCCCTATCTCTTTCTGACTCTCTATCTCTGTCTGTCTTTTTGTTTCTCTCCCTTTGTCTATCTCTGTCAGTCTCTCTCTATCTCTCTCTGTCTCTATCTCTGTGTCTGTCTCTGTCTGTCTCTGTCTCTCTCTTACACACACACACACACACACACACACACACACACACACACACACACAGAGAGAGAAGGGACTTATCCTTCTATTAGGGCTCTTTCCCTCTAAACAATAGCTCTTAAGGTCCTGGTAGATCCAATGTTACTCCTAGAACCCAACATTTCTGCTTTAACTGCCTACACAGTTGTTGTCCTCAGGCGTTGAAAGCATCACCTGGGAAAGCACTCTGCCTAATCTGAATTTAAATGAAACAATGAAATGACTGAGGGCTCTTGGCCCTTACCTCCTCTTAACATGATTGGCTCCTGCTAACTAACCAGAGGCCTTGTGATGCTGCCTGTCCACAGAATGGCTCCTCGCCTCACTGTCCTGCCCTTCCTCTCCACATGACCCCCTCCAGGAGTGGGAGAATGGCCTTACAGAGGGAATAAAGCAGCAGATGCTTAACAGCTGCCAGTCCGCAGTGTAACTGGCAACAGAAAGCCATACTGTGTTGCATGGAGGCTGCCGGAAGAGTTTCTAGGTAGCAGAATGTAATTGCTCCTGATTGGAATTTGCCTGGGCCACCAGCCAATCCCATCCCCATCTTTTCGGGCTAAACATCAAGAGTTTTCTTTTATATGTGGCTGCTTGGTGGAGAGCCCTCTCCTGCTTTATTGCTTCTCCAACCCCTTATCTGAGAACAGCACACAGAAAAGCCACCTTCCAAGCAAATGTCATCATGCAATAAAGAAATGAGCCTGAGACTTGGGTTGCCCATATGGGGCAAGGCAGGTGGATGCCAAGGCTGACACTCAAGAATCAGAGAGGAAATGTCATTTACATGATCTATTCATGGGACTGTAGATGTAGAGCTGGAAGCAGCTTCAGAGTTCATCTGCCTCAACCCTTACCCCTGTTTATAAGATGAGCAAAGATGTAAGATTAGGCCCAGAGAGATAAGATTACCTGCCCGGGAGGTAAGGAGAGCAGAGCAGGTTCTCTGACTTCAAATCCAGCATTCTGGATTCTATTCTGTAGATATCATTCTTAAAATGGGTCTTAGGAGATGGGATGGAGAAGGGAAGGAGGGAGGGGGGGAAAAATGGGAAGAATTTAGTCCTGGGTTCTCTGTCCTCTACTGGGGCTACCCAGCATATTCAGAAAGTACTTCAAAATTACTAAAAGATTTATCCATATGATGAATGACTCTACCAACTCATAGGGCACTGCCTCTACACCCAAGAAATAGTTTTACTGAGTTGTTCTGGCCCTCAAAAAGTTCATCCCTTGTTAGCCAACTTTTTGCCAATGAGCCTCTTCTTAACATAGTTAGGTTTACTTAGCCTAGGAAGACAGATATACACAGCTCATTGCCATATCTGAAGTCCCTCCAGCTTGGTAGAGCCTGAGATGGCTCACTCTCTACTGGCATAGCCCCCCTAGAACTCAGGATCATCTTTGTACTATGAGTCATCAGAACAGGATTTCAGCAGAGGTCATAGGATCATAGATTTTGAGCTAGAACTCACTGCAGAGGCCATTCAGTCTCCTTGTATAGATGAAGAAACTGAGGCAGGTAGACGTAAATGACTTGCCCCAAATCATAAAGCTAGTGAGTGTCTGAGGCAGGATTTGAACTGAAATGTTCCTAACCAACAAGTCCAAGTTCAATAGCACCCTATCTACTAGAGCCTATCCATTCTCCTTTCTAAGAAGAGGTAAATCAGCTGGTTTTTGTTTGTTTGTTTGTTTGCTTTTTTTCTTCTTAAATTCAACTCAGTATCATGGTACTTGGTAGTGGTATAGGTCTAGCTTAGAGATACTGAGATGGACAATGACATGCCCAAATCCCACAATTTTAAGATTCAGGGCTCCTTGCCCTGCTAGTCTGACCTGAGGACCTCAGTTTGATTTGTATATATATAATTTGTATATATAATATATGCCTGTATACCCACAATCATGTAAAAATTTCTCAGGCAAACAGGGGTCGCAAGTGGAAATATAGGAAGACTTACCCAACCCCTCTTAATTCTACTGTCTTTCCTTTCTTATTTCCTGTTTATCGTGTGAATAGCTTATTAGTACATAGTTGTACATATTTGTTTGCATGTTATCTCTCCCATTGGATTGTAAAACTCTTGTTGGCAAGGACTGTCTTTGGCCTCTTTGTTCATCACTGGCACTTAGCACAGTGCCTGGCACACAGTAGGTACTTCATATTCATTGACTAACACTTGTAGGATCCAGGTTCATATTTTTCCTCCGGTGCTTTCTACCCATGTATTCTTGGGCAAATCGTTTAACCTCCTTGTACAATGAAGGGTTTGGCCTGGATATCCATTGGAGTTCTTTCCATCTCTAGATCCATGTTCTGCCATCCCTCTTACTTTCTGCTTCTTGGTGTCAAGCTTGCACCTGTACTTCAGGAAAGACCTGATAACTCCTTTATTTTTTTCAGGTGAGCCAGTTCCCCAAGCAGTCCTACTTTCCTTTCTCCCTCAATTTTCCTCCCCATCTGTCGCCATACCTGTTGTGAAGTGAGTGATGGTGGAAGTACTTTCATTGGTCCCTCGAATGGCACTGACAGAGACTTCATAGTGGGAGCCGGGTCTTAAGGCTTGCACAGAATACTGACTCAGAGGAGGCTGCAGCCTGAAGGTGGTCCTACCGCCCTCTCCATCCACTAGCCCGTATTTCAGGAGAATGAAATCAACTTTGGCTCGAGGTGGGGTCCACTCCACGAAGGCCACAGTGTCTGAGACATCTCGAACTAAGATCTGTGTGGGTCCATCAATGACTAGGTGAGAAACAAAATGATGGAATAAAAATGGATGGGGAATACACTTTTGGTAAAAGAACATTACTGCCAATTATCTCTTTGCACCCTCATGCTACCTATGGGGTAGGTAGAATGAAAGCAGGTGTTACTCCCTATACTTTACATATGGGGAAAGTCAGGCCCAGAGAGGGGTAGGTGACATGCTTGAGATCTTACAGTGAGACAATGATTAACCTGGTACTAGAACTCAGCTTTCTCTAAGCCTAGTTTCTGTTAGGTTATGATATTTGTCTTCATAGTATCATAGAATTTGAGTTGGAAGCAGTCTTAGAGGCTGTGAACTCCTATCCCCTCATTTTATAGAGGAGGAACTGAGTCTAACAAAGGTCAAATAATTTGCCCAGGGTCACACAAATAGTCAGTGTCTTGAGCAGGATTTTAACCCAAGTCTTTCTGACTTTAATTCTAGCTCTCTATACAGTTGCTTTGGATGTCCTGGCCCTGGGAGGGAAAGGGCATCTGTTACCTTGAGCTAGCCGATTATGTCTCTGCCTAGCCTAAAGACAAAAGGACCATGCAATGTCCACACCTGTTTGGACTTTGCCTAGCTCTCATCATCTCCAAGAGCCTTGAGGAAATACTTATGAAGCAGCTGGCCCAATCCAAACATCCATGATTGTCAAATTGGCTGCCCAGGGGAACTTTAGCTCTGACCAGTAAATATCCGTGCTCAGTTGTAAAAGCCACAGAGCAGTCACGATAACAAAAAAGAGGAAGAAGGCAACAGACTATGATAGATCTTTGCATTGGCTGACATGAAATACGTGCTACTGGAAAATGGAAGCCAGTGAAAGAGGTCCTTCTCCATAACACTTTACTGCTCCAGAGGTGGCTCTGGATGATGTCTGTTGTTCACTTGTCTGAGTGTGTTATTAGACCAGAAAGGCATCACTGCCACAGTCCTTGGTCGTCACCCTGCATATGTAGGGCAGTTATCAAGACTCCTTTAGTGCATCTGGACCAGGCCGGGTTGGGGAGAACACATCCTGATATAGAATTAAATAAATAAACCACTTGATTCTGGATTAATCATCCAGATCCAGAGATTCTGCTCTGGTTGGATTGAATTGAGTGAGGGGGAGGGTGGCAGGATAGGAAGGGTAGTGGGAAGAAAAGAGACTAGCATTTCCTAATCAATCTGAGATTTATTGTTTGGCCTGCCCTAGGCTAGCTCAGAAGTAGACTGATTTACTTAGGTTAGCTACAGAATGAAATGTATCCTATAGGCAGGGATGTGTTAGAGTCAAGTCCAATGGGGCTCAGGAGAGCAGATGGCTAAATTTTCAGTGTTAGCATTCAGACGTCTGAAATCGGCAAATGCTACAAAGCAGGGCTTGATTTATTTTTTGTTGATAGTTTAAATTTAAGAAAGTGATGGACAAAGTATTAAGAATGCAGATTAAACTCAAAAGTATATCATGCATACATTTTTTTTTCAGAGAGCTGGTAAACATTTACCAGCACACCCCTTCCAGAAGGACTGCATATTTTGCATCCTACTGAACTGAGTCCCTTAGACTCAAGTAGGCGTAGTCTTGGGAACCGTGTAAAGCTGGGTTTGACCTGTGCTCTAAGGTTTGAGACAAACTCTCCAGTGGTTTCAGCTTCCATTGACTGAAATGGGAATTGGCAGCTTGTTCCGGTGCTCCCTGAAGTGAGGCCTCATTGATCATTGACATATAGGTTATTTTTTTTTTAATATCACATTCATCTCTAGCCCTGGAAGCAAGAGACCTAGGTTTTCTTCCCACATGCACTGTGTAAAGTACTTTGCAACCCTTGAAGAGTTGTATGAATATCTTATGCCACCACTAGCACTACTTTGAGCTACTTTGCCCTCTTCTGCCTCATTTTCTCCACTTATGAAATGGGGGTGAGGGGGTGGGAAATATATCCTGGCCACCAATCTGCCTCACAGGGGATGTCATAGTTATAGCTTTAGATGCAGAAGGGAGCTCAAAGGTCATTCAGTCCAACCCCCTCATTTTATAGATGAGAAAACATAGGCCCTTGGAGTTTAAAAGGCTTTCTCCAGATCACCCAGGTCACAAGTACCGAAGGAAAAATTTGAACTCAGGTCCTCTGCCTTCAGAGCTCCTACTCTGACTACTGTGACACAGGTTTTAAAGTGACAGTAAACATGAGATCCTTAGGGAGAAAAATGGTAGCATTAAGACTTAAATTATTACATGAAACTTTTGTCCTTCAACCCCTTAAATCCACAAAACCTTATTTTTAACAACTAACCTTATTAGAATGAGATCATGTTGCACAGAGAGCTCTCGGCAGGTGGTCTTGTCATTTGCATTCACAAAATGGTTTGTATTGAAAAAAGGCTGCTTGAATGTCTGATAACAGTTCTGTGCTTTGCAGGAGGTGCTCAGTACAGGTTAGAAAGTGGCAGAGGGAAACAATTAAAAAAAATTTCCTAAAGGCATCAGACCCGGTTGGTTGAGGGTTGGCTACCTCTGCAATAGGTACCCCTTAGAGCCTGGCCTTGAGGTGGCCATCCTTAAGTGAATCTGACCTGGTCTCTTTGCAGTGATGTCATACTGCAACTCAGGAAAAGTAAACTGATCTTCAATTTGACCTCATGTCTCCAACCGAATTCTTAGAAAGGAAATTTGGACAGGTGATTTCTTCCTCCCATTTCTCTACTACTCTCTCTCTCTCTCTCTTCCTTCCTTCCCTCCCTCCTTCCCTCCTTCCTTCCTTCCTCCTTCTCCTTCCTTCCTTCCTTCCTTCCTTCCTTCCTTCCTTCCTCCCTCCCTCCCTCCCTCCCTCCTTCCCTCCCTCCTTCCCTCCTTTCTTCCTTCCTTCCTTCCTTCCTTCCTTCCTTCCTCCCTCCTCCCTCCCTCCTTCCCCCTCCTTCCCTCCTTTCTTCCTTCCTTCCTTCCTTCCTTCCTTCCTTCCTTCCTTCCTTCCTTCCTTCCTTCCTTCCTTCCTTCCTCCCTCCCTTCCTTCCTTCCTTCCTTCCTTCCTTCCTTCCTTCCTTCCTTCCTCCCTTCTTTCTTCCTTCCTTCCTTCCTTCCTTCCTTCCTTCCTTCCTTCCTTCCTTCCTTCTTTCCTTCCTTCCTTCCTTCCTTCCTTCCTTTTGTTTCTTCCTTCCTTTCCTGCTTTCCTTTTTCCTCCTTCCTTCCTTCTTTCCTTCCTTTCCTCTCTCTCCTTCCTCTTTCTTTTTTCCTCCTTTCTTCTCTCTCTCTCTCTCTCTATCTCTATCTCTTCCTTCCTTCCTTCCTTTTTTCCCTTTCTTTCTCTATCTTTCCCTCTTTCAGTGACTTTCAATTTAGCCAAATTTAAAATGAGTGGAAATAGCCATTTTAAAAGTAATCTTAGGAAACTTCTAAACCAAGGACAGCTAAAGAATTTGCATGAAAGTGGTCTAGGAATAAGACCAAGACAACATTTGGCCCCATCCTCTAAGGTCTCAAAACTTCTTTAAAGAAAGGGCCTATATGAATCTAATGTATATAGCTAGTTTATATCTTCTCAGTCACTAAGTAGGCATTTATTAATTTATTAATTATATGCGGGGTTCTATGGTAAGCACTAGGTATGAATATAAAGACAGAAAAAAGACAGTCTCTGCTCTTGGACTCACAATATAATGGAGGAAGACAGCTTGCAAATAACTGGGTACAAACCATCTATATCCGTGTCCATCTCCATCTCCATCTCTATCTCTATTTCTATCTCTATATGAAAAATAGGAAAAAATCAACAGAATGAGGGCACTAGAATTAAGAGGGATCATGGAAGGCTTCTTGCAGGTTTGACTTTAGTTGGGACTTGAAGGAAGCCAGGGAAAATTCTTCCCATTAGACAATGAGCTCCTTGAGAGCAGGGAATATCTTTTGGATTTCTTTATACATCAGACACTTAGCACAATGCCTGGCACTTAGTAGGTGCTTAATAAATGCTTTTTGTTGTTGTTATTTGGTCTACAATTTTCTTCAACTTCTAAGGCATTTTTAATGCTAAACACCAGGATGGACTTTGAGGCATGAAGTCTGTTGAGTATTAGCTAAGAATGACCTATAAATATTACCATAGTGGGTGGTAAAACTAAGGTCAGCTAGGTCAGGTGTGCCTTTAGGCAAAGCCATAATAAGCCATTTTGGTGCCTTGTGCAGAAAAGTAGACTCTGGGATTTGGTTCTCAAGACAAAGACTCTGATTCACTAGAGTTCATGGATAGGCACCTTGGGTCCAATGCTGGGGAAGTGGGATGTTGGTGGGAAACAGTGGAGCCACGAACAAGTTGACTTGGGGTGCAGCCTGGTTGTGGGTCCAGAAGAATGAGCAACTTGGATCTGCCTATTTTAACTGATTTCGGCTAATAAGGTGCTAAGTTCAGTTGTTCATGTAACAGCACAAGTGCTACAAATGGCCTTTGGACAAAACCCACATTGCCCCAATCTTGTCATGTTTCTGTTTCTAGGGTATAGACCATGGAATGCATTAGGTTTCTTGTGTATTGGGTTTTTACCTAGATTCCTTTTGGGCTAGAAAAACCCAGGACTAAGTATGAATGTCAGATTCAGGACTCAAAATTCTTTGATTTGGAATTACATTGTAAGGGTAACCCACTACTATACACAGTTGGTCTGAGGTTCTTGCTCTAAGGGTAAGGGACTGGGCATCAATTTAAAAAAAGGAACTAGTTCAGTGGTTTTTACTCCTTTGGCGAGCTCAGCTTTGTGAGACTGAGGAATGTGCACAACTAATTTTTCATGAGTGTTTGAAAAGGTCAGGGCCTCTAAAGCTGAAGGCAGAAAGCCTGGATTTTATTCTATTTTCTGCTTCTAACTGGACAAGCTATTTAATCTCTGTGTCTTGGTTTCCTTTATCTATAAAATCAGAGGATATTTTTAACCCTTAGATAATTTTGGCTAATGCCACATGCATGATAAGTGTCTTTTTCCCCACACTTATCAAGTGGGAAAAGAGTCCCTTAAAGTAGCCAAATGGGCAACCTACCTAACTCTGCTAATACAACAAATGGGGATAGGATGAACCTATGCCAGTGAGAGAATAGTATCACTTCATCTCCAACATCAACTAATTCCCCACTGAGCTGGTTCTAATAGCAAGTACCTTGTTCACTTTGACTCCATATCCCATTTCCTCCCTTTCTAGGGGGGTCAAGTACTAGCAAGCAAGTTCTTTGATGATTGAGAACAGAACTAGGAAATACTGGAAAGGAATCTTTTAATCTCCTAGTTTCCTACCTGTTTTTTTGGGGGATGACAGGATGGAAATGGAGTCTAGTTAACAAGTCAGGGAAGAAGTCTGGACCTTAGTTTTTCTTTTGTTTGTTATTTTTTTTTTTTGGACAGGACCTGTGATTTCACTCAAAGAGGTAGCTTTCCATGAGGAAACTATCACTGCAGTTGGGCAATTCCTCTGCTTCCTGTAGTTTTAGAGAATTGTTTGCAGCCCTGAAAAATTAAGTGACTTGTCCAGCATTACATTACCATTACGTGTTAGAGAAAGGACTCAGAACCCAAATCTTCCTGCTTTTGACCCTTGGTTATTCTTTATACCCAATCTATAACCTTCATTAGTCTCTGTAGAATCTCACCAGAGTCCTTTAGGCAGGAACCAGGTTCCTTTTAGAGACAGAATAGTCTACACCAGGGGTGGTGCCTTGAGGCCACATGTGGCCCTCTAGGTCCTCAAGTTTGACCTTTTGACTGAATCCAAAATTCACAGAACAAATCCCTTAATAAAAGGATTTGTTCTGTGAAACTTGGACTCAGTCAAAAGGCTGCACCCAAGGACCTAGAAGGCCACATGTGGCCTTGAGGCTTCAGGTTCCCCATCCCAGGTCTACACTGACATTCCTAGGGTCAGCTTCTATGTTGCCAGAGGGATAAGTCAGGGCATAGTAGTAACTTACAAGTTGAGATGCTGGCTGATGTTGGGGGGCTCCGTGCTTGATCTTTGAGTGCCACCACATTAACGATGTACTCCTCCCCTGGCTTTAGCCCTGTCTGGTTGAAGGATGTGACATCGCTAGGGAGCTGGGCAATCACTCCCCCTTCATTGTTCTGGGAGAGGCAAGAAGGAAAGAAAAAGAAACATCACTGAGAGAGAAGGTTTGTATGACTTCAGAACATGGTAGACCAATGTCTGGCAATCTCCAACCTAGTCATGTAGATAGTTGTGTGCCTGGAGCCGGTACCCATTCCCATCAGGCTTAAGTGTGATACAAACTGACTACAGCTTGTTTGAAGTTTTAATAAATGAACTGCCAATTGAAATATATATATTTCTTTGCCTTTTCATGAATTAGTTGAGTTTGTCAATGGAAATTAGTCATGAACGGAATGAACTTTGCCATAGACAATATGGGGATGTTGGGTAGCAGCCATCAGGTTTTGCTTGCATTCTATCCTTAATCATGAAGAACATGCCCTTGGCTATTTAGAGGAGATAGTTTGTGTGTGTGTGTGTGTGTGTGTGTGTGTGTGTGTGTGTGTGTGAACATCTATACAAACATACAAACATATTTCAAAGTAAGAAAGACATTCACATTTTTTTTTATACCAGCAGGAACTATTATTTTGTTATATCTGGATTTTCTCTTGGAGTTAAATCAGATGTGAATCTGTCAATGTCTTGTTTCCCCTTCAGCAGGATGAGTTAAGAGTTTAGTGACATGATTTACTCCAATGTGCTAATACAAAATGGGAGCAGGGTGAGAGCAAAGATTAGAGGGGAAAGGGAGTGGAAGAACAAATAGAAGAGGCAAAAAAGAATATATGGGGCTGGATTTTCTCCTCTTTGTCCACAAGCTGTTTCCGGTGTACTTTGCTAGGTATAGTGGAGACATCATCCTCCCTGTTCCCCCTTTCTCCATTTACCAGTCCATCCCTTTGGTGTTTGAGGAGTGCTAATGCTAACCTACTAACCCAACCTGATTTTCTATAGTTGTGCCTCCCAAGCTGTTTTTACCCAGGCAATGTAATTTTTAATGCAGAGAGTATTCAGGGCTCAGAACTGCATTGTTCAGATATAGTATCTGTTAGGGCTCTTTCCTTATTGCTCCTTGCTTTCTGGGCTGGTTGCATGGCAGGGCACTGGGACTTAGAACTGCCTGTGTTCTCAAAGCTCTCTATACCAGAGGAACGTGTGAACTTCACTGAGCCCCATGGGCTCCATAGGCTCATAAGTTAATTAAATGAAGGCTAACTCTGGGGAAAAATCCATCCCTCAGGGTACATGCACCAAGACTCATTCACAACTTTCTGGGGATCCACACCCAGACATCTTCACAAAATGCTTGTACTGACTTGCAAAAACATTACATTACCTTCTCCCCTCCAATTCACATCACTCTGCATCAACTCAATCAGCCTCTGCACACATACACTCACTCATCCGTCCATACTCCACTCTCAACACACTTTGCTATGCAAAACTAGAGGCTGAGTCTTGCATTGCCATGGCAAACAGTTATCCCTAGCACCTTCCATTCACACTCGACATCTTTTCAAGCCAGTCATCCCCAGAACTGAACACAGAGAACACTCCTGATGCAACCTGCAGAACTACTCTTAAAAAATTCATGTGACTTATGTCTTCCAAGGGGAAAATGAAAGGGTCACCATGTGAATGATAGAATGTTTATTCTTCAGGGCTACTGGATCCTGTCTTGTTTTTGTTTAGGGCTAGGCACAGGGAAAGCTGGCACAGAATCTTGTCTCTGTGTAGCAGCAGGGTGATGTGATTTCCCTCTCTTTGCAAAAGACCACTTTCTCACATCCCTCTATAGGATGGCATGCAGCCAAGTTGCCTGTTGCTTTTTTTCCTTCTTCATTCCTTAATTTTTTAAAAATTGGTTATCTTTTGTTTTCAAAATTCTCTCCATTTCCAATATATCTCTCCCTCTCTTTCACCCACTAAGCTATCTCTTACAGCAAAGAATAAGAGCAAAAAAAGGGGAAAAAAGCAGTTTGGCAAAATTACCTAATACATCTAATAGCATATTCAATATTGTGCACCTATAGTCTCCCACTTCTGCAAAGAAGGGAGAAGGTAGATTTTCTCAACTCTTGTCTGGGGCCTGTCTTGGTCACTATAATTATATAAATACATTCCTTTAAAAATTCATTTCTTATAAAATATCATAATAAATTAATTATTGGTTATGATGCAAACATGTCATCAACCCACCTTAGAGAAAGGCAGTATGGCCCAGAGGAAAGAACATTGAATTAGGAGTCAGGAGGTTTGGATTCTTGTCTTGGCACTGATACTAACAAGCTGTGTGACAGTCCCTTACCTTCTCTGGGCCTCAGTTTTCAAGTCTGTAAAAATGAGGGGGTTATTGTACTAGGTGGTCTCTAGTGTTCTTTCTGGCTCTAAAATTCTATGATTCTAAGAGTTTCAAAGGCACTCGAAGGTGAAACCAGGACACTTTTGGCTAGAATGTACAATTATTCATTAGAAATAGCTTTTGAGTCAAACCGGGGTGAAGATACAGTAATTTCTTTGCAAATAGCCCCCAGTTTGGACAAAGGAAGAGGAGAATGGGGATATGATTGACGTTTATAAAAACTATAATGGATAACATCATTCTCTATAACTCTAGATAGGCTGAACATAGGTGGGGAGGCTCCCCCCTCATTGAAAGTCTTCAAGAAAAGACTATGTGATCATTTGTTGGGAATAGGGTGCAGGACATTATTTGGGGGCACAGGGAACCTAGATGACCTTCTAAATCTGAAATTCTATGATCCTAGACTTTTTCACCAAATACCAAAAACTAGAGAGCACCTCTTGGAGCTTATTAAAAGAACTATTTTATCCAGTGGGCAGTAAACTTATGGAACTCATTACCTCCTCATAGTGCAGGTAGAAAATATAAAAAGGTTCAAGTAGAGTTTAGCTAAATTCATGATGGAGTTCTAGTGGGTTATTAAGGAAGCTAAAGATATTAGGGTTATAGCTGTAACCTTTAGAGAATGATGTCATGGAAGGTAACCATGGTTTCCCACTAAGTATCCCTTGGTGTTACTGATACATATGGAATACAGCATGGCTGGGTGGGGCTGGAGTCCAACTGAATATAGCATTTCTTGCCCACTAAAGAAGAGAACTATTCTAATGAACGATTTTATTTTTTTGACTTGCTAGACCCACTAAATTCTGAAACTTTGGAGAGAAGCAGCAGCTCTGTTGAATGTCTCCAGTTTTCTTCCTTCTGCTTTCAGTTAGGTTGACCATATGTATTAATTTCATGAAATTGATCAATGGGGCAAGTTTAAATCTGGTCCCCTGGGTCTCAAAATGGGTTCCTCTTCCAGTTTGCTGTTTCTAGAAATGACCTTGTTGTCCCCTTCATTTTGCAGAGGGGGCTACTTACCAACAATTTATATATTATTTTAAGGATTAAAAAGTTTTTTTCTCACAGCAATACTACTTAGTGGATAGTAAAACAATTATTACCATTTTACAGAAAGGGAAACTGAGGCTCAGAGAGGCTAAATGACTTTCCAAAAAGGACACACAAATACTTAGTGGCAGAACTGGGATAAGAGCCCAAGTCTCCTGGGTCCAACTACACAAAAACATCCTGACTAGATGTAATACATCATTAGCACCATATTTTATTCAACCAAGAGAAACACAGCTTGGCATGGTAGAAATGCCTCTGGAACGGGAGGAAGGAGACACAAATCTTACGCTAGGTTCTGCCGCTAGCTAGCTGTGCTAACTGTTAACCTCTCTCGGTTTTATTGCCTTTAGGCAGCAACTACTTCTATGCAACTGACCCAATTCCGGGTGGAGAGTTAGCCAGAGGAAAAAGGGAATCTAGCAGTCTAACCAAATGGTTGTTACCTTTGGGATGAAGCTGATCTCCCACCCATCGAAGGAGAAAGAGAAGGGTTCCCACTGCACCTCCACGGTAGTCTCTGTGATAGTCTTGAATTGCAGCCCTTGCGGGGTGGAGAGATCTGGAATAGAGCAATGTGAGTGATGGCTTCATGGGTAACCCTGACGAGTCCATGGATCAGCCACAGAGCATTAGCTTCAGCCTCTTCTCAGCAGACTGCCCTCAACCCCTACATCCCACAGAATGTGCAGGGAAATCTTAAGCTACCATACTGACAGAAAATCTATACACTCAATTAAAAGCCCCTTCCTCATCATGGACTTTGCTCTTAGCTTAATTAATATATGAATAATTGAATAGATACTCTAACAAATTATTTTCCTATACTTCCTATAAGAAAATAGAAAACTCAAGGAAAAAGTCACACTTAGCCCTCTTTCAGCTGTTGATAAGTCTGTTTTTAGTTAGTGCCTTTTCTCAAAGAAGCCCCAAATGGTTTCCCAAAGTCCTCTTTGGAGCCTTCCTCACATGCCCAGGAGGCATAGATAGGACAAGTGTGTGTCCCCATGGTGGGCACAAGAACGTTAAGACATGAGGTGACTTGGCCAAAGGTACAGAGGTAAACCAGCAGCCCAGGTAAGACTGGGTGATTTCTTTTTTTATGAAATAGCATGCTTTTTAAATACTGAATATTTGTTTTATTCAGAAGAGTGAGATAAGAAGAAGGAAGAGCCAGCTTCTGCAGGGGAAAATGTAAACATTAAAACAAAAATAAGAATATTTTCAAAAAGCAAGTTTTATCTCTCCTTGTCCAGTGTTTTTTCTCACCTCATGTTGTTTCCCTTTCTCATGGATTCTTTATCTTCATTCCTCCTCTTTTTCTGTGTTTTTATTTTTGGCCTCTAGCATTCTCTTTTCCTATGGTATCTCTCAATCTTTCTTCAGTTTCCCTCCAGCCTTCCCCTCTGTCCCTCCCTCCCACTTACTGTGCTTAACCCAGGTGACGATGCACTTTTCAGAGTGGTATTCCAGTTACCCCTCCTGACCTGTGGCAGCCCATACTTGGCTATGTTCTGCAGAGTGCTTGGCCCCATTTTGGTTGTTGCCTTGGGATATTCCCCTAGGAGAACTGACAGCATCTTCCCCTCTCCATTTGGGTACCTTCTCTTGCAGCTTGCCTGAGAAGGAGCGTGGTTCATTCTTAACCCTTTCAGTGGAGATTACGTGATTTTGCCTTTGTCACCTGGGAGCATGCTTAAGGGGGTGCCCTGAGTTGGCATAACAAACCCAGAGAAGAATGGAGACTTCATCGCTTTATACACTTATAGATCAGAGAGGAGACATTTGGGAGTCCTGCCAGGGTATCCAGAAAAGTGAGTCATCCACGAGCAAGGTGGGAAAAACAGCAGATGGTAACCTACCTTTGTAATGTTATCATGCAGGAGATTTTAAACTGGTTCTTGGGCACCAGAGAAATTAGTAAAAGGTCAAACACAAACAAAGATAATTATAGACAGATGTACACATAAAGTCAGCTTCCATCTGGGGGCGTCCTCTATTGTAACATTGAAGGTTATTAGTCACCCAAATGAATTATTGAATCTGTTTGTGAACTCTGTCTGGGGTAATTTTTTTTCTCCTGTATGGATGGCTCAATTTTTAGTTCTTTCTGAAGGCAGGAGGAGGGGGTAACATTTCCAAGTCTACTGGCCCCATAGAGCAGAGCTAAGACCAATGGGTGGGAGATGAAGAGAGGCAGTTATAAGTTCTGCCTTATAGCTACGCAAAAATGGAATGGGCTACCTTGAGAGGGGGCCTATCACTTTAAGCCTGGATGACCGCTCTTTGGGGAGCTTTATAGAGGGGGTCTTGTGAAAGTATGGGTTCAACTGTGGGGTTGACTTGTGGGTATCCCTTGCTGTGCTGAGACTCTGTACTTCTGTGAAGTCTCTTTCCTCTCTGCCTATCCAAAATTTTTATATCCTTCAAATCCCAGTTCAAATACCACCTCCTCCATGAAACCTTCCATTATTACTTGATCCTCCCTCTTCTCCTATTTCTGAACTCCTATTATATTTATAAAGTATAATAATGTATGCAGTATTTAACTATATACTTCCTCTTTTCCCCTATAGCTATTTCATATTTCTTGGAAGAATGTTAGCTCCGGAGAGCAAGGATTGCCCCCTTTCTTTTTTTTTCTTAGTATCCTTAGCACATAACACAATACCTGGTGCATCATGAGTGATTAATAAATGCTATTGGTTGAATGATTAATTCATATTACCTTTGTCTCTAATACTAGATTATAAACTCCTCATGTGGCTTATCCTTATATCTCTTTCAGTGCCTAAGAGTTCTGGGCACATAATGAAGACCCTCAAAGGAAGAGGAGGGGAGGGGAGGGAATAAGCATTTATCAAGTGCCTACTATGTGCCTGGCACTGGGCTAAGCTATTTACAAATGTTATCTTCTTTGATCCTCACAACAATCCTGGGAGGTAAGTGCTATTATTATTCCCATTTTACAGTTGAGGAAACTGAGGTAGACAAGGGTAAGTGTCTTACTCAGTATCACAGAGCTAGTAAGTGCCTAAGACTGGATTTGAATTTAGGTCTTCATGACTCCAGGCCCATGGCTCTATCCATTGTACAACCAGAGGCCTAATTAAGTCCCTTGGATGTTCTTGTACCTGACCTGCAAATCTCTATCTAGCAGTATATCAGCTCCATGAAGTTAAAGACCATATTTCATTTTGTCTTTGAAGCCCTAGCACCCAACACAGGGCCTTGAACATAGCTGATGCTAAGTAAATGTTTATTGAATTACATTGAATTTTTGGAGAATATCTGGGTAATGCCTGCCATCTAGTTTATTTTTCTGCTCCCACGATGCTGAATATCTCTGGAAAAAAAGACAAATTTTAGCTTTCTTCACCTTCTACCCCTTGAGCCTCCTAGCCCATTCAACTATTAAGTCATCTCTGCCAACTCATGGCCAAATGATTTCTCTTCGTCATTATCCACTCTTTCTCAACCCCTTGTAATCTGCCTCTCCTCTTTCCCACTCATTTTAAACTTCTCTCTCAAAGGTCACCAATGAACTAACAATTGCCAAATACAAAGGCCTTTTGCAGTCATAAAGTGATAAAATGATATAATATCAGAGCTGAAAGGGGCCTAAGAGATCACCTAGACTAGATGTAGCAAACAGGCTATGGGCCATGTTTGGCCACAACATTCCTTAGTGTGGTCTGAACCAGATTAAAATATAATTGGGAAATATTTAACAAAATAAATAATAATATAATAAAATATAGATCAAATTACTATATGGTTTTCTGAGTAGAATTGCAGACTGCAGGGATCCTTATGTACAGTTGGCCCACGTTTCTATTTGAATTTGACACCACTGATCTAGAAATTACTCTTCTTTTTACACATGAAGAAACTGTGGCCCAGAGACATGAAGTAATTTCATGGTTCTGTAGTTAGTAGTGGGGCTGGCTCTTGAGGACCTTGTCTCCCTTTGCCCTCTCTGCAGCATTGAATGTCATTGTCTACCCCCCTCCTGGAGGACTCTCTCTTCTTTTGTGGCCTTACAATCTTGTGCTTTTCCTTCTACATCTTTAATTGGTCCGTTAGATCCTTATCCTCTAAGGATATTCCTTACCGGTGAATGTTCCTTAAAGGTCCGTCCTTAACCTTTATTCGCTACACTCTCTTCTTTGGCAATTTCATTCATTCCCACACATTCCGATACTACCTGAGTTCAGATACCTCGCCAATATCTATAGCTGAGGCTGAACTTTCTTCTGAGCACCAGACCTACATTTCCATTTGCCAACAGGATCTCTCCATCTGGTTGTCCCACAGGAATTTCAATTTTATCATGCCCTAAATCAATCTTATTATTTTCCCTTTTAGTTTTCCCCTCTGTCTGACTGACTTCACTATTTCTGCCTGTGGAAATGCTATTCCTCCAGACTTCTGTGTTTGATACTTTGGGGTTACTTCTTGTTCTTCCCTTTCCCTCACTTCACATATCCGATCAACTACTAAGTCTTGTCTATTCCCACTTCTGTAATATCTATCACATACAAGCCATGTTCTTTATTTTACTGGCCCCCCTCCTCCTATATAGATCCTCATTACCACCTGCCTGAGCTATTGAAAAAGCTTTCTAACCAGTATTCTCTTTCTGTCTCTGTCTCTCTGTCTCTGTGTCTGTCTCTCTGTCTTTGTCTGTCTGTCTGTCTCTGTCTCTGTCTCTGTCTCTGTCTCTCTCTGTCTCTCTCTCTCTTTCACCTTCCCTCAATATCTATCCTTCTTGTCACCTCTCTAACAATTTTCTCAGTGATTTGGAAACATTTCTTTCTCTGCTAAAAAAAAATCTTCAGTGGCTCCTTATTGCTTACTGAGTCAAGTTCAAGCTTCCTTGACTAGTTCTCTATAATCAGGAAACAGTCTACTTTTCCAGCCTTATTTCATACTATTCCCCTCCAGTCACTCAGTAGGCATTTATTAATTTATTAACTATATGCAGGGTTCTATGGTAAGCACTAGGTATGGATACAAAGACAGAAAAAGGACAGTCTCTGCTCTTGGACTCACAATATAATGGAGGAAGACAGCTTGCAAATAACTGGGTACTTTCTGATCCCTGAGCATACATACTCTGAACTTTCTTGCCTCTACATTTCTTTGAGTTGTTCCTGATGCCCAGAATGCCCTCTTCCACTTGCTTGAGCTCCTTCTCAAACATTTTGCATTCTTCTCAATCATTTTCCGTGCCATGTTGTGTAATATGTTTACTGGTGTTTGTATCTTCTACTAGATCATTGTTTACATGAGGATGAGGGCAGGGACCATATCTTTTCCATCTCCCTGGTAATCTGTACCTTCATCTAGCATAGCCTTCTGTATACATTGAGCACTTAGTGAATATCTGTTGAGTGCATAAAAGACAAAATGTTTGTTGATGGCTAAAACACTTTTGAATTCTTGGATTTCATGATCTAAGCAGACAGTCTGATTTTGGAAATCTCTTTAAATACTTTTATGTTAATGGAGCTTTGTAAAGATCAGTCTTCTCTTCTGGAAACTCCTTCCCTCAGGAGGGGGATAGTTTCCAGTATCCATGCAGAATTAGGAGGAGAAAAGATTTCTAATCCCTAGATAACCTCTCTAGTGCTGGTTATTCCTTCTTTCACATCACCCAAAAGAAATATCAAGGAGGAATTAGCAAATTCCTTGTTCCCTCTTTCCCCTTTCTGTCTCTCTGCATGGCATCACTCAACAAATTCTGCTTTTTTGACGTTCCTGCCATCCACTCATATCATACTATACAAATTGTTATTGTCTTCAGTTGATCTCCAAGTTACTTTGCCTTCTTTCTTAAGGACTTCAACCATTGGTTTCAGTCTTCCTCTCTACTGTCTCTGTCTTCATACTCAAGAGACTTTGGTATCATAATGATTTTCCATTTTTAACACTCTAGGCTTTCTAGTTCATCAATTTCCTCAACTGCCATCTCTTTACTTTGCCTCAGTCTGCCACAGGAATGGTACCAACATTCTACCCTTGTTTCTTCAAGTTTGACCACGACAATTCCCTTCTCACAAACATCCTAATCCATTTTCCACACAGCTGCCAGAATAACCTTCCTAATAGGCTTGATTGCCCTTCACCATCACTATCAAATCTTCAGTAGCTTCCTGCCACCCCTAGGATTAAGTACAAACTCTTTAATTCCATTTGCTATCTGCTTCCATTTTGTGGGTGAGTTCATACCATTCACATTCACAGTTATGATTTTTAACTACATAAAACTCTTTAATTCAACATTTAGTGACCTCCATAATCGGGGTCTAATCTGCTTTTTCAGAGTAATTTCACATTATACCTTTTTATGTACTCTACACTCTATCTATACTTGACTACTATCTGTTCTTCAAATTTGACATCCCATTTTCTACCTGTGTGTTTCTGCACAAGTTATGTCCCCCATGACTGGAATTCATGCTGTCCTCATCTAGCTTTTTCAGAATAGCCACTTACTTTTAAGGCTCAGCTCAGATGTCACCTCTTGCATGAGTCCATCTCTGATCCCAATTGTTAGTGCTCTCTCCTTCTTCAGATTACCTTATATTTACTAATTTTTGTATATTCCCCCCTCCATTAGGATGTAAGCTCCTTCAGGTCAGGAATAGTTTCATTTGTGCCTTGGTATCTTCTATGCCTAGCACAGCTCCCTATACAGAGAAGGATCTTAATAAATGAGTTGAACTCTTGAAGCAATATAATTATTAGTTCCCTTGCAAAGAAAAATGAAGAGGAAGAGAATACAATACATACGAGTGGCCACCTTGGCAATGGCAGGGAGGCTGAGGGTGTCGCTAATGACGGCAAAGACACTGATGTTGTAGGTAAGTCCCGGCTCCAGCTCCTTGATGGTGATGGCACTCCAATCCCCGGGCACCCGTTGCTGGAGCTGAAGACCTCCCAGGACTGTTGGCTGGTAAGAGATCACATATTCTGTCACTGCCATCGGCCCGTCCCATTCCAGCTCAATGGACCTGTCGCTGATTGCGGCTACACGCAGGTCCTCGGGAGGGGCAACTGCCAGGAGGCAATACACAGACAATAGGAGGTCAGGGGATTGTTTCCCCTATCCCAGACCCAACTTCCTTCTTCTCTCTTCAACATATCTGTCATGACATGTAGTGTTTCTACTGACTGTATCTAAGCTTGTCTGCCTTGGGTAAAGAAGAATGTAACCCAGTAGAGATCAAGGCGCCAGCCTTCTCTGCATTCTGCACTCCCACCTCCACAGTGCCTACTCCAAGGCTGTGTGCCATCTTGGGTGTCTACTGAACATTAATTGATGGTGATTATGTCTGGAAAATTTTGGCCCCAGGTCACTCTGGCTACTTACTAATCACCTACTTTGGTCCCTGGACTCTGAGCTGTTGTCTAGCTACCCTGGGTCTTTCTAGTTTAGCACTGAGGAGGCTTCAGTGATGCCTACAGGCCACCAGAGGGTGTGATAAAGGCAAATAACTTGCCCTTTTAGCAGCACATGCATCCTAAAAGGGTCATATTTCAAATTAATAAGAGATGTTATTGGTCACTTGCTTTGTGATTATTAATTTTTAGTCTTTTTTTAGCTTTCTTTTTAGCTTAATTTTTAGCTTTCTCCCTCACACTCATCCTCAACTGCTGTCTAAAGATTAATGTTTCTGGAAGCATTCATGTACTATACTAATGAGGAATTAACACAGCACCCTTAAAGAAACACAAAAAGGAATTAAGAACCTAACTAGGATGGACTTGCAAACTCCAGCAGCCCACAGATTAAGCCAAAGATGAAAAATCAGTATTCAAAGGGCCATAATGAACAATTGCAGCTTCTAAATGTAAATGGTGGGTTATTACTTTAATTAGTCTAATGGTCCTTTGGTTTTTTCCCTCTCTTGTCTGGAAGATTTCACATTGTCAGGACCTTCCATCCACTCTGTATTTGTAGACACATACCCCTAAAGTCATTTGCACTAGCAGAATGAAGACCTCCTCACCTAATCTCGGACTTCCCTAAGGCAGAAGAGAGGTGTGAATGTTGTTAGCTTTATTTTAGGGTCCTTAGTAATGAAATTGATTGAATTCCCCCCCCCCATCAAACTCATTCTTTTTATAGAAGGGTATAGCTTTGCTTCCTTACCCTAATTTAGAATAAATAGAGAATATAACTATTTATGTACTGCTCACTCCCATTAGGATGGAAGCTCCTTGAGGGTAAGGGCTATTTTTGCTTTTTCTTTATATGACTCAGTGCTTAGGGAAGCACCAGGCATATATTAAGTGCTTAATAAACATTTGTTGATTGTTTGACTCTAAGAGCTAACGGGGATATTTTCTGTTAGCTCACATTAGTGAAATGAGACAGTCACTGAAACCTTGGCTGCTCTCACAGATATCCCCAAAATTATTTGCATTGGCAGAATGAAGTTTTCCTCATCTAACCTCATACTGCATTAGCTTCCCTAAGGTAGAAGAGAGATATAGCTTTAGCTTTATTTTATGGTGCTGAGTAATTAAATTGCTTGTTTCGCTTTTCCTCAAAGCCATTCTTTTATGCATAGTTATGGTTGGGGGGAAATCTGCATAAAAGTTTTTGGACCTCCCTTTGTACCAAAGAAGAAGTCTGATTTTTTTTTCTTTTTCTTTTAAGGGGTGTTTATAGCTCCTTATTGTAAAATTTGGGTTACGTGTTTGGTAATAAGTTCTGTGTCATCTGCTGGCCTTCACATGTTATCTGCAGCTTCCACAAAACTCCCTCTAAAATTCCAACTTAATTTCTTATGCCGACCCACTATATATTGAAACCATAATGGGGAAAATAGTGATGTGGAAGGGATAACTGTAGAAGGATATAATTTTGCTTCCTAGCCTGAGTCTTGAATGAACAGAGAACAAGGTCTTTGACCAAGTCCCAAGGTCCCAGCAAAGGGCTGTGGGTAGCCTGCAAGCATGAGAACCTAGACACAATCTAGAGAGCTATAAAGGCTGGAGCCTGGCCTAGAATGCTCTGGAACATGCTTTGCTTAAACAGTACTTTCTGATTGGAGAATGATTCATGATCTCCCAATGGATTTGTTCTCTAGGTCTCTGCTCTTCTAGTGGTAGCCTGGTGGTTTTAGTTACAAGACTGATGAGGCCCTCCTCATCAGAAGGGCTTTCCCCTTCTGGTAGTGTTCTAGTGAGAGCACTGGTACAATATTTGTTTGGTTATTTGATCCTTTTTTTAAAATCGATATTTCATTCAACTGGGACTAAACAACCAAAGGCATGATAATAAATGAAATAATTGAAGTTAAAACATCTTAATGACATAGGTAGAGCCTTAAAATTACAACTCACATTTATATAGCATTTTAGGGTTCACAAAATCCTCTCTTCAAATTAACTCTTTGAGATCAGTAAAGAGAATGATTAAAGGATATACTATTGCTGCTTTTATCATTTCTATTTCCCTCCTTCAGGAAGAATATATATTGACAGGAATAGGTGAAAAGGGAATGTGACCTCTCTCTGTGACCATTCTTTTTCCTAGGATAAGGTCATTGGTTATGTTGAGGTAGGAACAAGCATCGCTCCTCATGACATGTTGGATAGAATCCTTTCCATTATGTTAAGTTAGGGGTGATCAGCAAAACCATAATTGTACCTGAGAAAATTCAGGGTGGGTTTGGGAAGAGACACAGCAGTAATGAAGAGGACAATCTGGTTGCAGGTAGAGGAGTGGCCCAGAAAGGAAGGTGGCTGTGAGTGGCATGGACAAGAATGAGACCTGGGGGTTTGGGGTGGTGGTGGTTGTTGTTCTTCGCATCTAGGAGGAGGAAGGACCTACCTCGAGGTGGTTGCTACAGGATTTTTGAGGGGATAAAGTGGGGCCCTTCTCCCTGGGTATCAATGTTCTGGGACAAAGTTCCATTTACCCTGTGCTAGTTACAGCTTTGGGTCACAAGTCAGCCATTTTCCCCAGCACATCCGAATGTTAAGTGTTTCTGTTTATCTCATAAAGTCAATCTCAACCTGTCACTGTTGACTGAGCACTAGGTGGCAGGGGTCAGTAGTTTAATATAAATTGGAAAGTTAAAAAAAATGGGTCAGCAGTAATCAGTGATTTTATAGGAGGAGGCTGAGTACTGGCTAAATGATTAAGATAATTTTTCCACTGTGAAACAATCAGATCAGCCCCAGTAAGTCACCAACAGTTTGTCAGAACTGGAGATTGGGTCCTGAGATATACAGTATTATTAGAGCAGCATCATCACATAAACTTATCAATTATTGATGGTAGATAGGCCCCAACTTTGGGGGGGGGTTGTTTTTATATTTTTAAGATTGGGCCTTCTTATCTTGCCCAGGCTGGAAGTGCACAGACTACTTATGGGTCAGTTCCACAGCTGATAATCATGGGAGCTTTGACCCACTCCATTTCTGAGCTGGGTCAGTTAGCCCTTTGCTTAGGCAATCTGGTGGCCCTTTGCTCTCATGTGTTTTACATATTGAGGTTGAACTCAGTGTGGAGGCCTGATTTGCATAACCCACTATAGCTCTGGGCGCTCGAACCCAAGAGATCTCTCTCAGTCTCAGGCTCCCAGTCACTGGGATTACAGGCATGTACCACACTAGGTGACCCCCACTTCACCACAGCAACATCTGGTAAAACCTGAGTTGTGATTTTTTGACATTCTCCTTTTGTCTTACTCTACTGAGTGTCAAATAGTAAGTTGCTACTAGTTAGTTATGCTCGCTACTTTTTGCATATTTTTTTTCTAAATAAACTTGGTCTTTCCTTAATGTAAACTTACAGTAAGAGACAGCATGAAGTATAAGAAAGTTGACCATGGAATCAGAAAGATCTGAGTTCTATGTACCTCTGGTGACCTTGACCAAATCATTTAAACTCTCAGTGACCTAGGCCAGGGATCTCCAAACTTTCTTGATTGTACAAACTTGTTAGTTATTATTTTTTTTTCCTGACGAGTATGGTTTAGGTAGGGGATGGAGAGAAATATTCCTAGTTGTACTGCATAGCTGCTGGGATCTGGGTTAGGTTGTAACTACCTGAAGGGGCCAATTGGGTAAGAGAGGTAAAAGGCTGGGAGTTTGTGCAGCTTTCAGAGGGAATGAAGTAGGGGAGTCTTGGGGTGTATTGGACAAAGGGTATATGTGGTTATGTTGAAGACAAGTCCTATGACTGGCTACTGCAGAGAAGGTATGATGCATCTCCACCTTCCTCTGATTGGCTGATCACATACCCCTCTGAGTTAAACTGTAGCTCTCCAGGAGGCTTGATAGCCAGTTTTGGAATCCAATGTTCCCTCTCCTTGACTTTGAAATTATAGGGCAGTTGCTTATATTCAGTGGGAAAGGAAACTTTTTTTTTTTTGCTGGGAGTTCTGTCCACCAAAGAAATCAACCTCGCTGTAACTTCACAGGTTAGGGTATAATTATATAAATTAGTAATATCTTGATCATGATCATTAAGCTCAGATACAAAAGAGTTTAAAACTAGGTTTTTTTTTTCCTAATTGCATTTCAAAATGGGTGTCACTGGGAAGATTTGAGGGCAATGAATGGCAAGATAGCATGAGAGCTTTTGAGGGTGGTTAATGCCTCAAATCAGATGATGTAGGCAGCTGCCTATTCTGCCCATGTTTAGAGAGAGCCTTGTTGAAAAAAAAATAATCTCCATTACTTGTCCCCCAAGAATAGAGTTATGACAAAGCTCCAGTATGTTATCATTATGACTAGTATTGGCTTTGCTCCCTGGTTTCAGAAGTGATGGTCTTTTATTTCAGATAGTCCTTGACCCATACCCTTTTCAACATTTGATCTGCTTTGTCAACATAGTGACCAACTTTCTCCCATTGAGAGTAAGTGAGTTCTCTCTGGTTGTGAATTTCTTCTGCTGGAAAACCACCTCTTTTATTCTATATCACCCTACCAAAGACAGACAGTGATCGTTTTTTGGAAATGGCACCTCAGTGAGCCCACACCCCTCTCTCCCATTCCAGCCCCTCCTCTCTGAATCTCCCCTTCCTACCTGCTGAGCAGTCAGGACCCTGGTACCCTTCCTCACAGAAGCAGAGCCCATCCTGGCAGTGCCCTCGCCCACTGCAGGCATTCAGGCACTGGCGTTGGCCACAGTCTTCCCCAACATAGCCTTCCTGGCAGAAGCAGGTGCCATTGGAACATCTCCCCTTCCCCGAGCAGTCCCCGGGACACCTCAGCTCACTGCAGTCTTCTCCCGTGTAAGCCTCTTCACAGACACACTCGCCATCCACACAGAGTCCTCGGGAGCTGCAGTCTGTTGGGCAACGGAGCTCTGAGCAGTCATCACCACTATAGTCACTGTCACACACGCACTGGCCTTCCACACATACACCCCGGCTGGAGCAGCCCATAGGACAATAGGGCTCTGAGCAATTCTTCCCAAACCAGCCTTCATTGCAGATGCAACCACAGGACTCCAGGCTGAAATTTCCATGGCCACTGCAGTGCGGGATATAATCCAGTTGACCTGGAATGATCAGGAAACAAGTCAGAAGGAGATACTGGCTGCTCTAATGAAATGCTACCCAGGAGGGGGTGGAGGTAGTAGCCTCTACCCACCTCATGGCCAAATAACAGCATTTATCCCTTTGAGAGTAAATTATCATCCTATTCTAGGGGAGGGGATGGTAGCTGTGCTCATGACTATGTTTTACTCTCCTGCTCTCTCCATCCTTACATAACGGCCATTGCACATGGTACTCATGGCTCGCTGTAGTGGCTCTGGCTGATGTGACTTAGCACGTGCCTTTCACTGTAGGAGGCAGCCTGATGAGTGGGAAAACCTGTTGGACTTGAGGCAAGAAGACCTAGGGCTGTTGGGAGCTGGGGGCAGTTGAATTTCAGCTTTGACACTTTCTACCTGTGGGAGCTAAGAAACTTTTCCTTTTTGAGACTCAGTTTCCTAATCTTTAAAATGGGAACAATAACACTTGACTAGCCAGCTCTTAGCACAATGCCTGTGTCAATCATCACATAGTAGGTGATAAATAAACGTTTATTGACTGTCTCTATCACTTTAAGAAGTGATTCATAAACCTTACTAGTACTTGACTTCATGTATGTTTGTTGACTAAATCACATCAGTGTAAGCTATGATGAAGACAATGAAAATGATGATCTTGGTCCAGAGTAAGAAGGATATAGATTAGGAGCTGGAGGAATCTTAGCAGTAGTAGGCTAGAGCCTTCTTTAACCCACATGGGAGAACTGATGGTTGAATTTTCAGTGTGAGCATTTATACTTCATTTGCTCCCTCCTCTCCTAAGGATCTTAGAATTCCTGGCTTTTTTCAAAGCTCAGTTCAAGTGTTGCCTCCTACTTGGGACCTTTCCTGATCTCCCCAGTTGTTAATGTTCTCTCCCTCCTCCAAAGATATGGTATTTGCTTCTATGTGTACATATATTCTCTGTATTCTCCCAGTAGATTATGACCTCCTTGAGGGCAGGATGTATTTCATTTCTGTCTTTGTATCCCAAGCACCTAGAATAGCGAATTGTATTTTTGGGGGAGTAGGAGGGAAATCTATACCTGGGATTCCATATAGGTGGACAAATCCCATTGAGGGTCATACCACTTCAGAAGAGATCTCCATTGAAAAGGGAATTGAAGGTCTCCCTCCCACTCCAGCTCACTCCATCATAAAAGGCTCCGAGCTCAGGGGAAATATTTCCCCCAACTCCTGCCATGAAGTCACACTTCTGCCAGTGATGCCTTCTTAACACTGACCCAAGAGACCTTCCTCTCTCAGATGACAAGAGGAATTCTGACTGTGTCAGAGGCAGGTCATAAATCTCAGTTTTCCCAACTCCAGAGCTAGTCCTCTATCCACCACACCTGAGTATACCTCTTGCGCATATTTAGTGTTTATAAATATTTACTGATTTTTTTTTTCTGATTACATTTTTTTAAAAAATGACCTAATGAAGATCACTAAGAAGCACAGGATTAAGACATCTTAGATTGGGTTTATTCTTTCCTGCATTCCGATTCTTTATTTGGGTTCTTAGTTTGGGAGTGGGAGAATGAGGTGAGAAAAAAACATAAAATATTTCACTACTGAGAAAATGATCACCAGCCAGCTATAGAATCTCAACACGAGTGTGCCTGCAATCCCTCTGGATGTGTGCGCCATTCAGACACTATTAAAATTTTATCCCTTCTGCTTTCCACTTTCATCCCCAAGAAAGCTTCTGTGTTATCTGATCACACAGCAATCAAAGCTTGGACCAAAATAAGAAAAGAATTCCCCCTGTTATTACCAGAGAAGGCAGCTTCTCCTGGACAGGGCAGGGACCCATTCTGTGTGAGGATAGCTAAGAGTGAACTTTGGAAAGGAACTGGATTCCCCTTATCATCTAAGAGAGGAAGGTCTCTTGGGTCAGTGTTAAGAAGGCATCATTGGCAGAAGTGTGACTGCATTCTGGGGGTTGGTGGTGGGGAGAGATATTTCCCCTGAGCTTGGAGATTTTTAGAAAGGAATGAGCTAGAGTGGGAGGGGGGGACTTCAATTCCCTTCTGAATGGAGATTTCCTCTGAGCCCATGATGACTCTCATTTTTAGAGATGGGAGAAAGTCTGAGATTGAATGAATTCAGTGACTGAATTCTCTAGTCCCCCAGGTTAACATGGTTAGATATCAATCCAACAGCCTGTGAAAACCAAAGATGAATGAAGACAGACATCAAATTCCCCACTTGCCACAGAAGATGCGCTGCTGAACCAATGTACCATTACCTGACTCATCCTCCCAAAATCAGGTTAATGTATTGCGAATGGACTAAGCAATGTAGAAATTCCCTGAACGAAATCCCCTGGGATGGGCTATATTTAGATCTTAGAGATGTATTAACAGAGTGCTATACACTTAGAGAACGTTTCCCCCTGGCACTACAAAGAAATGCAGAATTTCTTTCTTACTGCCTAATTCATCTCCAACTTTTCCCCACTAAGTTCTCATGCATCCCATGCTACCTGTGGCTGCATTTTCCTGGCAGCAGTTGGAGGCGCATTGATCTCGAAGCATAGACACTTCCCTCTCCAGCATTTCAATCCGGCTCAGTAGTTCCTGCATGACCTGGGCAGAGGAGGTACATTTGCAGGCCTGTTTGGGAAGGTTGATCCTGTGGGTGAAAGTGACCTGGCTCTCGCTGTCCGAGGTATGGTCCATGTATTCTGTCATCCTCTCATCTTCTGCACTCACTTCCTGCTCTGCTGAAGCCTCCAGACCAGAGGAACAGAGGCTGTCCAGGGGCACATTGATGTTATACACATGGTTGAAGATCATGGGGTGCTCTTTGCTGGATGCACTGTAGTTGACAAATTCCCCTTCCTCCTCCACCACCTGTCTTCTGACCCTTTCTGTTGTCACCTCCAGCTGACACTCTGAGGGCTTCAGGACAGAACCCAACAAGATCAAGTTGACCCCAATGAGCATGTTCTTTAGCACCACTGTTTCACCATCGACTCCCATTTTTCTGGAGATGAGGGGGGATTCTTGAAGGCCAGCCTGCAGAGGATTGCACGGTATGATAGGAATCTGAAAGGAAAAACAAACAAGAAAACCTCTGAGATGTCAATCCTGACCACACTAATGCCAGACAGTGGTGATAAGACCTATAGGGAGAAAGAAAGAAAAACCTGTGAATTTCCAAGAACAGAAAGGGAAAATGCTTTCTAGGTAGCTCAGAAGGCCAATGCCTAGGCAGCAAGAGGCAACAACACAGGCAATGAAAAAATAACTTGACATCCTAAAGTGACCATTTGGTTTTCCCAAAGGACTTGGCCAAAGAATTCTGCATTTGAGTCTAGCTCCATGGTGTGAAGGTGGGTCGGCCAAGGACACAAACCCTTGTAAGTACCTATGGGAAAGGGCTTTGTAATGTCAATACACTGACTTGCTTCATTTCTCATTGAGGCACTGAATTAACACCCAGATGTAGCCATGGCTATGCCTAGCATATTTTATAGGGTGATAGAAAAGGGATTTGGGATTACAGATTACTTCAGCATGGAGATCTGTTCACAAGCAATATTGTAATCCATTTACATTTAGGTGAGAACTAAGGAATTGCCTGGGGCACCTAGAGGCTAAGACTGGTTTAGGGACCCATGGCTAGTTTCAAAAAGTGTCAGATGCCAGGATCTGACCTAGGCTTCTGACTGTGAGTCCAGCACTCAATCCACTGTAACATATTGCTTCAACATGAATTTGATTAAAGGAACAAATCAACAGAAATCTATTTTCTCTCCCTCCTGTCTCATTGAAAAAAAAAAACACCCGACAAACAAATATATATTCCTTGTAACAAATATGCATAGTGAAGCCAAACAAATTCCCTCAATGGCTGTATACAAAAATTTATGATGTCTCATTCTGCACCCTAAATCCATCACCTCTCTGTAATGGATAGCACGTTTCATCGCCGGTCCTCTGAAATCGTGAATGGTCATCACATTGATCACAATTTACAGCTTTCAAAGTTGTTTGTTTTTCCAGTGCCATTATGTAAATTTTTCTCCCGGTCCTGCTCACTTCATTCTTCATCAATTTATAAAAATCCTCACAATGTTCATTTTTATAATATTGATAAAATAGTGTAAATTGTTCCTTTGGAAAATAGATTTCTGCTCAATTTTTAAAAAACAGGTGAGGGTATGTGTGTGTGTGTGTGTGTGTGTGTGTGTGTGCCACAGATGCTAAATGTTGCACTTTCAGATAAGATCACTGTGTTATTAATTTTACTTAACTGTTTTACGGTACTACAAGAAACCTCTCATGAAGTGGGAGTAATCTTTAAATGTCTGTAATGTAAAAACAAAACATCAATAAAACTTTAAAAAGGAACAAATCCCAGTTACTTCAAGGGAATTTGTCAGTAAAGGATTCCTACCAGTTCTGTTTAGTTGAAGATACCATTAGAATAACCAACTAGGTAGATAATACAGTTCCAGATAATCATGCTTGCATTTAATCCACGGGTACATTTGCTATTATCAGGGACTGTGTGAACTGAATTTTCTTTTGATCTTTCCATGAATATCATCATTGTGCCACTTGCCCAGAGGACCTTTACCAGAAGTCTTGCGTAAATTAATAAAATAATAGATCAAATCCTTTGTCAGTTAACTGGTCATGAAGAACCATAGAAGACAGTATATTTACAACGAAGCAAATAGGTTCTACGTGTGTTCTGCTGTCTGGTTCTGTCATCACATCTTGAGAGAGTGAGAGAGCAGCTAAAAATAGTGCCAGGCAATTTCAAGGCTAAAGAATTGTGGAACCACTCACTTTGGCAGCACATATAATAATAATGATAATAATAATAATAATAGAATTGTGGAACCAAAGGCAAGTCCCCATTGGGGGGATAATAAGGAGGCAAAGGGAGAAAAAGTCAGTTTTTTCTCTAGAACTTTGATGGCAGGAATGTGAACTTAATGGAAGAGTAGTAGTAGAGTTTGTCTATAGTAAGTGTAAAGCTACCTTGAGCATTAAGCTAAATAATTCAGAGGAACCAAAGCTGGTTGTTAAATGGTAGCATTAGAAAGATCCCTGAGTCAGTAGAGTGTCATGGGGTGCTGGAGTCAGGAAGACTTGGGATTCAAACCCAAATCTTAAATGACACCTATTTTGATACTACTACTTACTACCCATGTTGTCTTGGGCAAGCCATTGAGCATGCCTATGCCTCAATTTCTTCATCTATGAAGGGAAAGGATTGAACTAGATGACATTTTCTTTGAGGTTGTAAAAATCTATGGACACGTCATAGATGACCTTTCAAATCTTGTGCTGTTTATAATCCTGGACTCCACTTATCTTCTATTACTCATAGGATCATAGAATTAAAGTTGGAAGGAGCCATAACAACCATCAGATCTAATCCCCAAGATGTAGAAATAAGGAAACTGAGGCACTGAGAGGTTAAGTGACTTGTAATTAGATAATTGCCTTGATAATTCTTTTATTGACCCTCATTTCAGTCACCCTGAGATTATTTCCTGTGCTTTAGATTTGAGGAGTTTAAACTTTTCCTTAGCCTGGGGGTTGGTGTCATTATGGAAAGTCAGAAGGCAGTGCTTAATGCAATATCCCTCTTAGATTATTCTGTCCTGCTTTTGTACTCCTCTCAATTTCTGAAGGGAATTGCAGAATACTATGTTCATTATAATAGAATGAATTCTCAGCTCTCTCTCTTTGTAACACTATTAAATAATTAAAAAGCCGCAAATGCCTTAATCATATTCAGCAGGGTCATCCCTGGAGCAATCTGTGACATAACGTCTTTCTGCGCCCCTCTTACAGCCCTTACAACAACAGCCCCTTGTTGTTGAAGTTGTGTCTGACTCTTGGCAACCCCGTTTGGGGTTTTCTTGGCAAAGATACTGGTTTGCTGTTTCCTTCTCACGTTCATTTTATAGATGAGGAAACTGAGACAAATGGGGTTAAGTGACTTGCCCAGGGTCACACAGCTAGTAAGTATCTGAAATTGGATTTGAACTCAGGAAGAGGAGTCTTCCTGACTTTAGCCTAGGCACTCAATGGACTGCATCACCTAGGTGCCCTGACCTTCCCACTTTTCACTTATTCTATGAAATAACCACTCTTCAGCTCTCCTCAGACAGCTGCCTATCAAAACCTCTTTTAGACGCAGCCAAGTGGGTCAGTGAAAAATGCCCTGGAATTGGAATCAGAAAGACCAGAGTTCAAATCTAGTCTCAGACATCTATTAGCTGTGTGACCCTGGGCAAGTAACTATCACTTCTGTGCCTCAGTTTCCTTATCTGTAAAGTGGATACAATAATATCACCTGTTTCCCAGGACTGCTGTTAGGATAAAATGAGATAATATGTATAAGACATTTTGCAGTCCTTAAAATGTTATATAAATGCTAGCCAGCTATTATTTCAAGAAAGACTCCAACATTCATTTAAACCCTAGTGTATACTTTAACCAGTATAAACAGTCATTTTTGATTATTTGCATACCATGCCACCTCTACTCAAACTATCAGTCAATAAAGATTTCTTAAGCACCTACTGTGTGTCAGTCACTGTGCTAAGTGCTGGGGAAACAAAAAGAGGCAAAGATAGTTCTCACGCTTGAGGGACTCACAATGGAATGGATCACTACTTCCTCCCCAAAGGAACTTGGGACTCTGCCTCTGGAACCACCTTGGCTTCTGAGAAGCGAGCTTCTGCCTTGTATTGCCTGGAACTAGGCTTTCATACCACTTTCCAGCTGTGACCACAGCATACTGCCCTGAACAGATGCTCTCCTCTCTCTTTCCAGTTCCCCTCTGTGTTGTTTTCTCCCATTACAGTATGAGCTGCTTGAGGGCAGGGATTGTCTTACTCATTTGTATTTGTATCCCTAGTGCTTAGCACAGTGATTGGCATATAGTAAGTACTTCATAAATGCTCTATTATCTATCAATGGGTCTATTTTTCTGTTTTTCTGATATGTATCAATCTATCTATCTATCAATCTGTTATTCTGTCTCTGCATATCTATCAGTGTGGCAATCTATCATTTTGGAAGGTAAGGGGAGCTATTTTTTTGGGCAAGTGGGTCTTTCCTAGTTTGACAGAAATCCCAGCCCACCATGAAGACCACACCTACTTTAATGCTGTTTAAGGTTGGCCCAGGTAAACAGTTTGGTTATCTGTCTGCCCAGACTACATTGCTCATTGTTCTTACTCCTTTTGCTTATCACAAAGCAGTCCCTTTGTCAGGACCACATTTTAGCTCCCCAGGCCTCCCCCCCCCATCATTGCTGGAAAAGCTAGAAAGCTTTTTTTCCCCTAAAGAAATGCACTGCCACGGAGAGATTACTGGCTTCCAGTCTTTGGCTTGGCCTCTCATCCTTGCTTGTTTTCTCTTACCACAGACTAAATCATTCAGGAGATCAATGGGGAGGCAATTTATAGACTCCAGTCCAAAAGGTATTGTTGGGGGAAAAAAGTCAACATGTGGCTGTATGGTAGCATTACCCTGCCCTTGTTGCATCAGGATGATGATAGGAGGGCAATAAGACTTTTTTCTTCTGGAAACTTGGTGCCTTTCCAGGATTCTTTTAGTCCGCTATGATTCAGAGGAACTCAGCTTCTTGTTGCTCCTGGCACGTGTTACTCCATTCCCTGACTCTGTGCCTTTTCCCTGGCTGCCCCCTACCACCATGTTGGGAATGTTCTCCATCCTTACCTCAGTCTCCTGGCTTCCCTGGCAGCTACCTCAATATTGAGAACATTTTCCATCTTTACCTCCATCCTCTGGCTGCCCCTCCCCCCATTTTGGAAATGTTCTTCATTCTCATTTCCATCTCCCGGCTTCTCTGACTTCTCCAAGTGCTCCTCCCCCACCTTCTTGCAAGAGATGTTTCCTGGCCTCCCTTTCCTGGTTCCCCCTTTGCTCTTATTTCCCCTTTGAGATTACCTTACATTTACACTATATATATCTTGTATGTATAATTTTTTTGTATGTTGTCTCCCCCATTAGAATGTGAGCTTCTTGTGAGCAAGACCCTGTTTTTGCCT